TTAATATGCACAAATATTTATCGGAAACAATCAATCTCTGCATAGTCCTTGAGTATGTAAGTACCAAGTTTCATTGAAATGTAATGCTCATTACTTGTATCAAATGCTGAAAATTAATTAATTATGCAAATTAGGTAATTAATATGTACTGATATTACCATAAAAACTATCAGGTATGTGCAGTGTCATATGACATCTATGTACCAAGTTTCATTGAAATGTGATGATTAGTACTTGAGATATCAGTGGAAAAACCGAAAATTGACTAATCATTATGCAAATTAGGTAATTAGTATTCACGGATTATTACCAAAAACTAATCAAAACCTAGCATTAGTTCACAGCATCTATGTACCAAGTTTCATCAAAATCCAATGAGTGGTTGTTTAGATATCAGTGGAACAGTCATGGAACCGCTAAAAATTAGCTAATTATCATGCACATTAGGTAATTAATATGCACGGATTTTTACCAAAAACTAATCAAATCTGCGCATATGTTCAGAGCATCTATGCTCCAAGTTTCATCAAAAACCGATGTATGATTCTTGAGATAGCAGTGGAACAGTCGGACACGCATACACACAGACACAGACACACTAACTGCAAAGACTCCCATTATGTGCTTCGCACATGGGAGTCAAAAACTGTTGAGTGTAATTAGGAAGTGCCCCAGATTTTTATGTTCCAGATTACTGTATACAAATCCCCAAGCCTTGGCCATATTTTCTCTATTAGAAATGCATCTCAAATATAATCACATTGCATGTAAGCAGGCTCATTAAAATATGACTCAGTTTGACCATGGAGTTCAGAAGTTTTTATTCATAAAATCTTAGAAATTTATGCTAATTTTAATTTGTATTGTTGTCTGTAACAGTGTTTCATTTTTTGTAAATTAAATTTTGTAATTATGAGTAACATATTCTATTCTATTTTATTATATTCTATTATATCTAGTTTTAGTTTTTATGTCAACTGTGTCACATATCATATCAACACACACTAAAAACACAAAGGCTTGTGGGTGGACGCTTATTTGTAAACAATGACACGCTATGCCTTTCTGCTGTATATGCAGGTGATGACTCCCCTACTTTAAATAGGCATGGATATACATGTATACTCTTAATATCATTTGAAGATTTTATATACGTACTGAAAGATGAACATAATCTTACCAAGGTGTGTCAGATTTCGACAGTTATTTAGAGTCAATGACACCAGATATGCAGCGTGTATACCAAGACTACAATCTCGTGGTAGACCTCTGATTTCTAGCTCCTTGAGAGAACCACTACACTGTGATAAAACACTGTCACGAACACTGCCAGCTAACTGAAAATGAAACACACACAATGTGAAGTGAAATGTACAAGCATATGTTTCCTTGGTGTGACAATTTTAATCAGGGATGACCCAGTCATGAGAAAAATAAAATAAGTAAGGTCAACCTTACATATCAGTGTAATAAAATATCTCTTAGCCCAAAATAAAAACGCTCAAAATTCATGCCTGCACACTCACTCGTGTTCAGTAATGAGATTCTATTTTTTTGCTACATTGCTGATATGTCTGATGTAAACATGCGAGTCACATTGTCAAAATAATGTTGTATTGATGGTTAAAACATTTAAATGCATACATGACACTTTTTGTGTTTTTTTGATGACTAAATTCAACAAATCTTTCCACGAGCTAGCTAGCTACAAAGCACTTCTGCGAGTGCATGCTGTATTGTATTCTAAATAACGACCAACCTCAGAACCAATCACAGTAAATGTTGCTGTTTTGAGCTACCGTACATTTCACCTACGTAGTTCCTTTCGACATTACAAAGACGCTCTATCACTAGAAGCCGCAATAACAGCATTTTAGTGAGTTAATTTATGATAACATGCTAGTATAAGGAAAAATGTGCTTTTGCAGAATTCCATTTGAGATGCTTTATTCCCATAGTGGAAATAACGAAATGTCAAATTTTAAAAATAATTTAAAAGTGATTTACGATAAATAGTTTAACTTGCCTTTGGTAAATTATTCAGAAACAAAACTGATAACTGGCATTTCTCATCAAGTTTAATATCTTTTAATTTCCGCATTGCTGATAACTGTAAATCTGTTACAGTGCAA